TCTTTCTTTCTTTCTTTCTTTCTTTCTTTCTTTCTTTCTTTCTTTCTCCTCCTCCTCCTCCTCCTCCTCCTCCTCCTCCTCCTCCTCCTCTTCTTCTTCTTCTTTTCCCAATCATGACATTTAAAATGTCTTACTGTTTCTCGGCAGGAAAGTATTTACATGCTGACGTTTTTTTTTTTTTTTAAGCAGTTTTAACTTTTAAGGATTACATCATTTCTATCAATGAACATCATTGTCTTTTTTTTTTTTTTTGAGATGGAAGTTTCTCTGTGTAGCCCTGGCTGTCCTGGAACTCAATTTGTAGACCAAGTTGGCCTCAAACTCAGATCTGTCTGCCTGTGCTTCCCAAATTCTGAGATTAAAGGCTGCCACATCTGTCATTTTCTCTTTTGCAAAGGACTCTTTCCTTTGTACTGAATGAATGTTTTTGCTGTTTGTGTGATAATTCAGGCCACACAAGTAGGAAACAATTTTTCTTGAAGTAGATGTTGATTTTTTGTTGTCATCCAAGTGGCAAGAAAAAGATATTTTATGCTGTCTCCTGACTTGAGAGTGCGTGGGTGAGAAGAGAGGTCCGTCCATACTTTGGGAACTGAGCTCGTTGCGTCCCCTCTGACAGGACAGCTTGCACTGCCAGAGAGGCTGGAAGTGAGCAAAAGGCATTTGAAAACAGCAAATTGCATGCGACTGAATGTGTTTATTTCCTTTTTTTCCCCCTAGCCACAGCAAGGCAAAGGTTTTGATGCTGCTGTTCTCAATTTTCTTTTTGGCATTAAAAGGTCGTTCTTTATCTAAGGCTTTCTGCTAGAATCTTTTTGCTTCCTAAAGTTTGTGTGTGTGTGTGTGTGTGTGTTCCTCTCAGGTGGATAATGGGTCTGGCATGCCTTTCATTCCTCACCAGCAAGAACAGGAGTCAAGTAGGTTCCTCAGACCTGCACATCATTAATACGCTAATGGCCGTGGCACTCTCTGAACTGGCATGGCATTCCACAACACATTCTATTGCATTTTAATAAGTACCCAACCAGGCTTCTTTCACATAAGGAAATTAGGCATGATTGAGTCATATGTCTGGCATTTGTGGGCCTGTGCTACTGTAAGAGCCAGGTGGTTTTAAAACCAAGCCTAAGGGAGCCACAGTAGGAGATAGAAAAACTAGCTTTATACTACAAAAACAGGAAAAACAGCACAGTGCCATCAGTTTATCCTACCACCTCCTTCCCATAATGCACCTGGCAGTAGTTACCTGGCAAGAAAGACCACCTTCCCTCTTACATGGGTCCATTTCTTGTCAGCCTTATTTCTTGTTTTCTCTTTAATCTGCTTTCACATTTAGAAAACATGAGGATAGCCTGATGTCATATAATTTGTCTTGAGCCTACACGCTCACTTGAAATGGCTTCATCCAAATGTATGATGGAGGGTGTGTTTAGAATGAAATGTAAGCCGATCTGCTGTGTCTCTGCTTAATTTGAACTTTACTGTTTAATTTTAGGGCTGGCATTTTTCCATGTTTTAAAATGTGGGTGCATTTTAGGGCGCTAACCAAATACAGCCACATTCTTAAACAGAGAACAGTTAGGGACACACCAGGTGTCCCTCCCCCAAGTCCAAGGCCGTATGCGAGGCTCTCCAAGCGGTGGTTCTCAGCCTGTGGGTCACGATTGCTTTGGGAGTCACATATCACATATTTGCACTCCAGTTCATAACAGGAGCAAAACTACAGTTGTGTAGTGGTGATGGTTTGGGGTCCCCCAGTGTGAAGCACTATGTTAAAGGATCGCAGGGAAGACTGAGAACCACTGCTCAGGGACCCACTCGCAGTCTTGGTGTCTCCCAGTAAAAACGTAGTGGTGGAACTGGAGAGACGGCTCAGCCATTAAAAGTGCTTCCTGCTCTTTCAGAGGACTGGAGTTTGATTCCCGGCACCTACACGATGGCTCACCCCTACCTGGAGCTCCAAGGGATCCCATGCCCTCTCAAGCCTTCTGTGCGCACGCGCACACAGACACACACAAATGAAAATGTAATAAACTTTTACAATGCTCAAGTTGAAAGAGCAGCCAAACATAGGGGTTCCTTTTTAATTCTTAGGAGGAACGTGACTGTGAGGTGAGGACAGCGGTGGTTTACCCAGAGCCGTTCTTCTCTAAAGACAGAGCAACAGAGGAGACAAGCGGTAGCCCGAGTGACACGGGTTACATCATGAATAAAGCCATTCACCCTTTCGTCTAGTCATTACATGCGTACATACATGCGTACATACATACAATATATCCATGAAATAAATGTAAAATTCTGAAATGCACGTACTCTCAAATTTAAAGAACATCCACAAAACTACTCCACAAAACTACTTCAAACCCCATACAACAACAGAAAAGTGATCTTTCCACAAATAAAGACCAATTGTATTGAAGATATATGTATTTAATTGCAGAAATACAAAATAATACAATTTTTGATGTATGTATAGCATGAGGCACCTACAA